AACGAGTATTCAGTGGCATTCTGGGAGGTTTCACTTAGCTACTATAGCTAATATCTGACCACATACTTGATGTTATTTCATTACACACTGTAAGCCCCTTTGGGCATATGAACCTAAGAACAGCTATGCTGAATCAGACCAAAAGTCTACCCAGCTCAATGTTATTTTCAAAAAGTAGCCAATCAGTTGTCTATGGGAAGCCTGCCAGCAGTGCAAGAGTGCAATCATACCCTCTATTTTGTACTCCCTGACAGCTGGCATATCAGGGTGTACTACAAAAGTTATTAAATTCAGCATAGCATTAGGAGAGGAATACAGTGTACTAATAAAGATTTTCCAGTTGTACAAACTGTAGTACATTTTTGCTTCTGGTCCCAAGGCAGACCAATCCTTGCTCAATTGGCCATACAACCAGTTGGGCAACTAGAAACTGTAATACATCCCCCCCTTGAGCATAGTCAAGATCTAGGTATATGGGGGACATGTAATTTAGGATGACACTGTTGGGATCCTTGCCAGACAGACAGTGGGTGTATCTACACTGTAGAAATGATGCAGTTTGACACCCCTTTAACTGCCACGACTCCATTTTACAAAATCCTGGGATTTGTAGTTTTGTGAGGTGCCAGCACTCTTTAGCAGAGAATGACTAAAGACCTTGTAAAACTGCAAATCCCAAGATGGAGCTACAATACTTAAAGTGGTATCAAACTGGATTATTTCTACAGTGTAGATGCATCCCCAGTATAAATAAAAATACCGTAAATAAAATCCTACTGCCTTTTAAAGGAATCGAAACTAGTCATGAGAAATGCTTAGTCCATAATCTAAAATACATATTAAGTCCTTTCTTGCATTTATTTTGAAGCCAACAAATACCTGAGTGACCTAGAGTTCTAGTATTATAAAGAAGGGAGAAAAATTATCTATATTCATCCTTTTGCCACACAATGCAAAGTTTTACTTTTTAAAAAAAAATTGCAATGTCCCTTTCAGCCTGGTACATGGGTTTAAGTCACAGCAATTTCACTTAGGGGGAAAAACAGATTAATTCAGTAACCAATTTCCTAATGAAATACAGTTGTCCCTCCATTTTTGCGGGGGATCCATTCCAGTCCTCTCCCCCCCCCCGATGAAAATGGAAATTCACAAATATTCAAGTCCCATTGGCTTGAATGGCTGCACACTGCCCTGCATGCGCCATTTTAACCCTCCCCGCTTGCCTATCTGCAAAGGACCAAGACCACGGCCTCGAAGTCCACTAAAATGGAGGGATGATTATATACACCTGAGTAATATATTAGCTAAGGACTAATGGAAATTGATCACATTTATTTATTATTTATACATTTTCATTCTTAATCTATGTTTTGCATCTCTTTGTCAGACTGCATATAATTTGAACGCCTTGCTTTTTAACTGAATGTCTAAAATATTTCCTTATTGGACTAATCTTTCAACCAGCAACCATGACAAGTTTTGAGATTTATTATAGAACATAGGGACTAATGCACAGGATAAGTTTGTCTTTTCTTCTTTGTATAATCGCTCATATTTGTTTTCTTGCCCTATCTTCATATTCACAAAGTTAACCAGCAAACAGAAGTAATGCTCATGACTGGTTAGTCAAAGTAAAGTCATAATTATGACTCTGTTATTATTTACTGCCAAGTGGACTTCAACTCATTGGGACCATATGAATGAAGGTACTCCAAGAGCACCAATTCTCAACTGCCCTGATCAGATCTTGCAAATCCAGAGATTTCTTGACCAAATAAATCCACCTGTAGTGTGGTCTTCCTCTTTTCCTACTGCCTGCCATTTTATCTAGCATTAAACAATAGTCTTTTCCAGTGAGTCACATCATCTCATGAGATGTACAAAACCCTCAGTTCAGGCTTGATTTGCTCTAGGACTCATTCATTTGTCCTTTTAGCAGTCCACAGTATCTACAGAACTCTCCTCCAGCACTACATTTCAAATGAGTTTATCTTCTTCCTGTCAACTTTCTGGGCAAACAAGATCACTCTGTTTCATCAAGTGAAAATAAAATGCCTTTTTAGTAGACAAAACAGAACCTTTTTTTGAAAGAGAGAATAAGTGATAGAGAAGTCATTGAAGAAAAAAATCCTCCTTTAACTCAATAGATGTGACAGAGGCACTGATTCAGTTTAGAGACTACTGTAACTATAAGGCTACCATGCTTATATTTAAATAACTGAATATCAGCATAGTTATTCTTCAATATATTTAGTATTTTCAGTTTAAAAGATCAAAAAATATGATCTAAAATTTTAAAATCACTTTTTGAAATCCAGTATATAAAGTCATTGATTTTATCAACACTGACTCTCTTAAATACACACACACACACACACACAACCTGAAACCTTCCTTGCCTTAGACCAGGGGCAGGCAACCTTTTTGAGC